TAAACATTTTATATTGATATTTTATTTTTGTCTAAAATTAAAACAAGACTCGCCCTCCTACCCTGCTTACCAAACAATGATGATGATGATGATGATGATGATGATGATGATGATGATGATGATGATGATGATGATGATGATGATGATGATGATGAAATTATCCTTATTGCTATTATCATTATTATTAACAAAAAGAAGGCACGATAATTAAGCCCAATGCGTTTCCTGTGCTTGTTTGTTTATGTGTGTGTTTGCCTCCGTATCAGTGTTAGCATGCAGGACAACATTATCCCGTGCGTGCTGGGACAGATGCAGCAGTTCAACAGCACCCAGTGTACTGAGCAGGACCGTCTGGGCGTGCTGGGGAGGGGAGGGCAGCTACTTGCCTTCATGGACGCCATCTGTGGAGCGCGTGAGTATTTGAGGGGGAGGGGAGGGAGGGGAGGGCAGCTACTTGCCTTCAAGGATGCGATCTGTGGTGAGGCACGTGAGTATTTGGAGAGGTTTGGGGGTGAGTGGTTGAGGGGATGAAGGAAGGGAGAGGGTAGAGAGGAATGAGGAGGGATGGGTGAGCAGGGTGAGGGGCTGGGGTAGGGGGGGGGTTGGTTTATCTAATATCACGGAGTTCATTTTCCGAAAGATCAAGCCCATCTCCAAAGAAAGGGCAAGTGCAGGCAAGGACAAATTGGAAGGGAATAATTTGGTTCTAATTGGAAGCAATTTATTAAAATGTAGAGGATATCTTGCCCAGAAAGTGTAACTCAGATAAAGATAAACTTAGGGTTAAAATCAATTTGGGGTTGTTTTTGTTGTCGTGGTTGTCGTTGTTGTCAGTGTGTTGTTATTGCTCTCCTTCACTCGTTCCTTTTCTTGTTCTTGTTCTTCCCCCATGCATTCTATCGTTCCCCTCTCCTCCAGCGTGCGAGCAAGAAGCCACTCAGTCCATGATTCAGTGTTATGCTGCTATTGACGTCAACCCGGATGCGATCCTGAGCCCTAACGCCTCTATAGCGGACGACAAGTACACGATAGTCGGGACCAATGAGACGCAGTATGAGAACTTCTGCAAGTAGGTGCTTATGGCGTCGCTGGCGTTGTTGTGGTTGTTGGTTTTTGTTGTTGTTGTTGTTGTTGTTGCTGTTGTTGTTGTGGTGGTGGTGGTCCATTCTTGGTTGCTTCTGTTGTTGTCATCATTATTGTTTGTTGTCGTCGTTATTGTTATTGTTGTTGTGGTTGTTATTGTTGTTGTTTTTCGTTGCTGCTGTTATTTTTGTCTTTTTAGTAGTTGTTGTTTTACCGGATCTACTTTGACAAAAACCACATTTCCCAAGGGTGTTGTTGTATTACGAGACAGTCACATTTGGCACAGATCTGTTCTTCTTGTTTTCGATCGCATCACACTTGGAAGTCCGGTATCTATACTGGGCTGTGCTGCTCAGTTCGTTTGTCAATACGTACAAGTTCTCTTGCAGTGTCAATAGGGTTGGCCACGTTGCCGCCTCCGGGCCCTGTGTGGAACGTAGATACTGGATTAGTGATATCTATCTATCTATCTATCTATCTGTCTATCTATCTATAAAACACATATATGATAACAACAACAACAACAACAACAACAATAATAACAACAACAACAACAACTACTACTACTACTACTACTACTACTACTACTACTACTACTACTACTACTACTACTACTACTGGAAACATTCTCGGCTTTTGCGCGAGCGAGTGAGTTCGTGTTGTGTCGGTACATGAGTGGTTTTGCCGTAAATGACGCTCAGGGGACTACCCGCTGAAGGCTGAAAATCGTTTCACCGCAAATTGTGTTCAAACACTTACACAGTAGTTACAAGATGGATCATTTTGTAAACACCTCTGAAACATAATATTAATGTAAACGCGCACAAAGTGTCATTGAGGACTCGGGAAGACTACATTTATGAAGTATACTGTGGTCTAAGGGTAACGTTTCCAGCAAGGTTATGGGCGACTCAAGAAATCTGTTCCAGAACTACCAACTGTTGTGAAAGTTTTCAGTTCTTTTGGCCAACACCTTCGCTCTCCATCACCGAACATATTCTTGTTCCTAAGAAAACTCATCGACCAGCAGCAACTAACAAAGCTGAAACTGAATGCAATAAACTGCAAATAAACAGCCCCTATTAGGCCATCAGTACTTACTAAGAAAAAGAGATGGACCGAAACAATAGAAAAATACAATACAAGGGAAATCAACATCGAGAAATATATCAAGTACATGAGATTCAAGTTTTTTAAAAATAACTTTGTGTTTCTACAGCATCCAAGTCCCACCTCTCCGTTGGTGAGTAGGGATAAACTGGCAACGTACTAAATTAGTTGTATTCGAATTCCATTTGCGGGGAAACGATAATTCTTATTTTCCACAAGTAAGCGCTGGGGCGTCATTGGGGTGAAACGTTGCATTCCCATTTTTGGGTGATTGTGGGTTTATGTGTGTGTGTGTGTGTGTGTGTGTGTGTGTGTGTGTGTGTGTGTGTGTGTGTGT